GGGAAAGGGAGAGGGAGAATTGCCATCTGTATCTAGAGGTGCTCTTTGTAATCCCAGCCCTCTGGCCCTGACCTCCAGCCTCCTAACATGACCCTTTTTTTTTAGACCCCCCTCCCCCATATCCTGTTTGGGAAACTGTTCCTGAGTTTCCAACAGTGTAAGGGTGTTGGGGCCCTGTCAAAAGTTTGCATAGATCTTCTGGGGGGTGGGTTGGGGAGGAGCATGTCAATCAATAAAGGGCTCAAAACTCTTCTGTCCCCACAAAGCTGGGCTAGAGGAATCTGGAGAGAGGGGCTTCTCTGCCCCCACCAGCTTTTCCTTTCTCTCTTTCCCCCATCTTTCCTTCCTTGGGTTCTCCCTCTTTGCTTTCTTCCTTTTCCTCCAGCTCTTTTCTTTGTTCTCCCTCTTTGCTTTCTTCCTTTTCCTCCAGCTCTTTTCTTTCCTTCCCCTGGGTGGCATTCACTTCCAACCCGGTTTTATTCCTTCTCTTTGCCTTTCTAACCTTCTCCCCTCTCCTGCCCCTTTCAGCCCAGCTTTGAGGACACCATCCCCTTAGGGAGAAGTAGGGGGAAGAATGTTTTGATGGTCCCTCCAGTTTCTCTTCAGGCACTGGAAGGCCCTCTCCCCCATTCCTCCAAAGAAGCAGCTCCAATTCTTGATGGAATGTATCCCCATTCTTAGTGACAATTTGAAGGGCAACTAATACTGGGATGCATATAGGGCCAACACCCCCCACCTTCATCATCTATGGGCATTATAGTTAGGGAACAGTTGTTGGCCTGAATTTTCTGGCTATGGGAGGGGGGAACCAGAAGCAAGAAAGGGCGTCGGGCAGGAGAGACTGGTGGCTGGAAGGGCTCCCCTCCCCTGTAGTGGCTTACTCTCTGACCCCTCTCTGGACCTGACTGAACCATTATTGAATCCTTATTAATGTGCAAATCATGAAGTCTCTGTCCCACCTACTGTGGTTGGAGAGAGAGGCCAAGCCTTCAGAGAGGGGTCAGGCCAGGGCAAAGCAGAATTGGGGTGTCGCAGGCCTGTTCAAAGAATCATGTATTGTGACGGGACTGGCATCCCCCTAACTGCTCACTTGGGGCTGCCACCACCCTCCCACCCTCTTGGTTCCGCTGGCCGGGCCAGGAGAGGATAAGGGTATGGGAGGCCCAGGGGTCCAGGAGATACTTGTATATAATGGAGTGGGACTGTGCTGAGTGATCACTGAGCACTTAAAAGCTCATAGTCCCATTCTTCTTGGATGGAGAAGGGGTGCAGGAATGGGGGTGCAGAGATAGAGGCATAGAGGGGATTCCCTATTCTCCTTCCTCTGCTTGTTGGGAATTAACTCACCTCTCTTCAACCTTCCCCTCCAGACCACCAGCTTGGGACGGGAGAGGAAGGAAGTCACAGTCCAGAAAACTGGCCTGTGGCAACTTCCCTCCTTCCCACCAATGTGAGCCATCCTGAGATGTCTGTACAATAGAAACCAAACCAAATGGGCACCCTCGGTTGCCAGGGGGCGGGTGGGAGGGGGGTGGGAAGAAGGGATGTCTGTCTGTGGATCCCCCTCCCCCTCTCCACTTCTTACCCACAAAGGCAAAAGACTGTTACACTAGGGGGCTCAGTAGATTTTATCCCACCCTTACTGAGTGAGCCAGACCTAGAAACAAATGCAAAACTGAGTGAGCTACAAAACCGGAGAGAAAGAGCTTGAGAGGGAGAGGGAGCGAGTTGGGCAACTAACACCGAGGAGAGGAAACAAAAATAGCAAAAAAAAAAAAAAAAAAAAAAAAAAAGCAGTTCTTTATAATTTAATATTCTATTTTAATAAAGGCGTTTATTACCGTATAAATGTAGCAAAGAACCTGGGCTAATATGAAAAAAAAGACTTTTTATTAGGTAATTTATTATATGAAAAGGATATTTTATTTTATGATAAAGTGATCCTTAAAAAAATAAAAAAACTTTAGAAGGTTTAGAATATATGTAGGGAGAGAAGAAGAAGAAAATACATTTGTATTCAGAGTTAAATCTTAAAAAAAAATGTTTTTAATATATGTTCGAGTTTACGTTCCTTTTTTCCCCCACTTTTTTTTGGGGAGGAATGTCATTTGCTTTTCTTGGGGGAGCATCCTGGGATGGATGGTGGAGAGAGGGCCTGGGGGAACCTGGTCCCTTCTGGGGCCCCCACAAGTAGATTGGATTTCACTCTGTGGGCTCCTCCTCCCCTCTCCCCCTCCCCCTCAGGGGAGCCGGCAGAGCCAAACAAAGAAAGGGATTAACTAGAAAGGAAGAAATTGTGGGACTAAGGACTGAGGATCCTGGTGTGTCCCCCCCCCCATTCCCCTGCCCTGTCCCTGGGGCAAGTGAGGAGGGGAAATCCAGAATGAAGGCCTAGCAGGCCTGTGGGAACCCTCAGAGAGGTGTGAGATTTAAGAGAAATAGATTTTTTTTTTTAACCAAAAACGAGAGAAGAAAAAGAAAAACCGAGGGGTTTAAAAGAAGAGAATACTACAAAATAATAATAATAATAATTCAAATTTATTTCATATAATCCTAGAGAAAAAAAGAATTACTAGTTACTTAGTAGACGATACTCAGATAGCTTAAAGTTTAGTAGCGTTGAGGGCCCCTGGGTCCAGTAGAATGTATAAAAGTATGGAAAAGAATAGAGGAGGGAAGTGGCTGAGTCCACCCTGAGCCGCCCATCTTCAGGTGTCAGGGTTGGAGTAGTTGCTAGTTAAGATTGGGAGCTTCCAGTCTGCTGGGGTTGATTCTGAGAATCCACGGGGTTTTAATTTTGGGACAAGTAGATGAGGGGCTCAGTTCCCAGGGTCTTTGAAAAGATGTACGCACACTGATCATCTCAACCAGGTGGGGCTGGACTGGGGGCCTAGCCATCACTGTCTCTGTTGGACAGCCCTTACTGTAATGTGATCTGACCTCTCCTGGGGTATCTAGGATGGAGACTGCTCAGCTCCAACCCTTCCAAACCAGCTTCTCCAGACCTGAGGAAGTCCTTGAAGTATATATATATATATATATCCTCAATCCCCTTCACTACAGATTGATTGAAGAGCCTGGTTAGCCATTCCAGAAATGTACATATGCTTCCCACCTTCTCAGAGCTTCAAGAGCACTGGGAGAATCAGACCCCATTCCTGTTCCCATCCCACATTCCACCTAGCTTTTGACCTCCATGACAGCAGTGAGAGGAGCAATCTCTTGAAATCTGTGCAATGCTTTACAGGTTTGCAAATTATCATCTCATAAAAATTAGTTCCAAGGACTTCCTACCCAGAGGCATAGAGTGGAAACACTGTCCTTGAAGGCCTAGGAGAAACGCCTTCCCAAGAGTACAGAGGCAGGGGAAGGGCACAGGGACTTTGGGTGACCCCAGCTCTGACCCCTACTGCTGCAGCCCACCTGCAGCACTAGATGTTCAGATATGGGTCACCCACTGTGCCCAAGGGCACTTTGCCTTCCTCACAGTAAATTGGGAGTCTGGCTTTTGTATGTGAGGATGAACATTTTTTAAGCACTTGCCTTCTACTAGCTCCAGCTGGCAATCAGATCAAGCCCTCCCTCCTATCCGAGGGGGAGGGGAGCCCACTAGGCTCTCCTTTTGACAAGCCACACCTGCTCCATTATACCAATGACTGCCATGCCCCGCCCTGACCCTAGACCCCAAACACATCTCCCTCTTCCCAATTTACTCTTCTCGCCCCACCAAGGGACAGATAACCTCCCTGCTCTTTTTGTCCTAGAACCCTCGATAGTTTGGGATGGTAGCGTCTGGGATGGGGAGGGCTTCCCCTTGCCCACTCGAGGGTACGGGAGGGGTAGAGGGGTGGGTGGAGACAGCCCTGGGGCAGGGGGGATGGTCTCTCCACTGTAGAAAGTAGAGTAGGATCGTGGTCAGACTTAATTTGAGGCATCTAGTGAAAACAGGAACAAATCCACCAAGAAAAAAAGATTTCAAAAGCAAAATAAAGGCGGGAAATTAAACAGACCCATGAATAATCAAGTCAAAGTGATGTTGCACAAAATGCAGAGAAACCAAGAAGGGGGAGGGTTAATGTATTAAATGTGCTATTAAGAACTTAATTTTATTAAAAGTATTATTACTTAAGGTGTCAGTCTGTGCTTTCTTGGGTAAGTGGGAGAAACTGGTGGGGATTGTAAATTATCTCTGGCTTAACTCTGGGTGTCTACACACCTCATGGGAAGTAGATGTTTCCAGAGTTCCCTGCCATCCTCAGGCTCCCCCTCTGCTATTCCCAGCTGCCCATGTAAATCTCCAAGCACTCAATTCTGTTCTCTTCCTTCCCCATTTACTTCCTTGTCTTTTTAGAAATGCCTCACACCTCCTTCCACCCTCTCCTGCAGAACAGCGAAAGTTGAGAGGTCACAGACCCTGAACTGAACAGATATTTCCTAGGCTTCATGGAGAAAGGGTGGAGAGCCGAAAACTGGATCCTTCCTTACTTGCTCCACCAGATTCAATCCATCCCTGCTGGGGACAGGAAGACTGGATGGAGGGCTCTCACCTTCCACCTCCCAGCATAGGAAACTCCTTCCACTCCACACACACATACAATGCTGGCCCTAACTCCCACTTTCCCTTGCATCTCCCCTAGGCTCCTCCTCTTAGCCCTGGCATTGGAGTGACCTCAGTTATTGGCACCAGGGCCTTGGGCACCAGATGGTGCCCGCTGATGGTTTCCTTTGTCTTGCCTTCCAGATACCCCTCCCCTCCATGCTGTCCCCCCCACACACACCTGTCCTGTAGAGGGAAGGGTGGGCAGCTCCCACCCCCTTGGCACTATCCCCAGACCACAGCACTCCAGAGGCAGCTGGCCCAGGGGAGCAGTATGGTGGGGAGGACAGAGTTCCTGGGGAGAGGGAATCAGGGATTCAGAGGAGGAGGGGCCAAAGTTGGAGGGGTGAGGGGCTGCACAGACTGGGTGGAGGGAACAGACAGATACAGGCAGCAGGATAGTCAGGCATTGGTACAAAACAGCTTTATTGGAGGGCCCTAGTCTGTGAGGGGGTAGACAGATGATAGAGACATGCATGGTGGGACATGAAGACCCTAGGATTCTGGGTATCTGTGAAAGGTAACCAAAGGGCAGAGAAAGGTCCTGCAGTGGGGGATGGGGATTACCAGAAAACCAGGAGGGGCAGGGTTGGCCATGGCCAAGATCAGAGGCTGATACAACAGGTCCTTTTCTCCCCAGGGCCGGGCTCCTGCCCAGCCTGGGCACTGCCCAGGACGATGGCATTGGTTCTGGTGCTGTTCTGCCTCTGCTTGGCCACCTTTGCAAAGATCTCTGAGAGGGCAGAGAGCAAATGATTAGACCAGAAGGTTCTGCACTAGAGCCTGGTCCCACATACATACTTTGCATGCCCCTCTGCAGGAGTGTCTGCTGAAAGGAGGTGGAGTTGCAGTACTTGGGTCCCTTCTACTTACCTGGATGGAGAAGGAACAAGACTCAGTCCCCTGGTTAGTGTGACTTTCCAGTTCCTTCCCTAAGCTCCAAGTGTGTGTATGTGGGGAATCCCTGGAGAAGTACTAAGTACTAAGGCAGTAGTGCCGGTGGCTCTGAGAAGGCTGGGGACCCCATGGCTGGGGGGAGTCAGCTGGGGTGAGGACTGGATATCTGTATTCCACCACTGACTCCAGAGGTGGAAGGGGCTGCCAAATGGAGGCAGCCTCTCACCTTTAAGGACAGTCTCAAAGGCCAGCTCAACATTAGTGGAGTCCAGTGCTGAAGTCTCTAGGAATAGCAGCCCATTGTTTTCTGCAAAGAAAGGAAAATCACTAATTGTGGGGGTCAAAGGCAATAGTTTTAACAATAATGATACTTACTTACTGTTATGTACGTTTGCTATGTTCTAAACCCTTGGCATATAGTAGCTCACTTAATGGTTAAAACAACCTATAAGGTAGGTTCAGTTAGGAAACTGAAACCCAGAAACAGAGAGAATGAAGAAGGAACTTGCTCAATGGCCCACATTTAGTAGCTCACCAAGAGGAGACGCTCTGGAGCATGCGCCCTAAATCACCATATTGATCTACTGATAGCCAAGTGGAGCCCACCAGGATCTTCCAGCATTGCAGGGTGGGACAGTCTTAAAATCAACTATGAATGGTTGCCAATGAAGACAATCTCAGGGGGGGCTGGTGAACTAGCTCAAGTGGTAGAGTGCCTGCCTAGCAAGCATCAGGCCCTAAGTTCAAACTGGGGTACAGCCAAAATCAAAGACAATCTCAGGGCAAATGGGAAGACATAATGGGAGACACAAGGTACCAGAGAGGAAGGGCTGGGAGATCCTGAGCAAAAGAAGATAGAAGTAAAGAACCATATGGAATAAGTTCATGCAGGAGGCCTAAGAGTGAGAGCAGAGACGAGGTATGTTGGAGCTGGGAGGTTGTGGGCAAGCTTGGAAGAATCTGATTGGGTGGGCGTGGGCATTCACCTGCAAACATTCGAGCCTCCTCAGTGGGCACCTCCCGGGCCTGGCTGAGGTCACTTTTGTTCCCCACAAGCATGACAACAATAGTGGCTTCGGCATGATCATAGAGCTCCTTCAGCCATCGTTCCACTACAGCATAGGTCTGGTGCTTGGTTAGGTCAAACACCAGGAGGGCTCCCACTGCTCCACGATAGTACCTGGGTAGGAGTGAGAAGGATGAGCAGAGACAGAGACAGATAGGGGTGTTAGATCTAGCATCAGCACATAGCCATCAAGCTGAAATGCCTGCAATTAGAGCATCAGTCATTAGGAAATAAGGAAACTGAGGACCTAAAATCTGGCAGGGCAGTCCAAGATTCCTCAAAACCCCTCTGCTTCTTCAGTCCCTTGTCCTGACTTTTTGGTCCCTTCCACCCACTATGCCTATCCAGGCTCTGGCCAGTTGTGCCTCCTGGATGCTCCACCTCTGAGATCTTCCTCACGTGGTTCCTCAATCCAGTGCCCTCTTCTCTCCAGTGGCCATCTTTCTTGGACTAGCCAAATGCCTGCTCCTTGCAGCAGTCCCTGGCCTGACCACCAAGGAATCCCTGCAAGCATCCAGCTTGCCCCTTAGGGTTGGAAGGGCAGTCTTCAGATTGGTGATGTCTAATCACTCCCAATTTATTGATGAATCAACCCAGGCTTATAAAAGATCAAGTGACTAAAAATGATACGTGCTTGTGGCTCTTGAGTTTGTAACTGTAGCTCCCTGCAGGCACTGCTCCCCACCATATGTTCATAGACCATCTTGCACACACTTGGGCCTGACACTGACTAGGAGACACTTTGGATGTGATGTCAGGAGGCCTAACTTCCTGTGTATCTTCTGAGACTTAATAAAATGCACACTCCAGGTCCAGCCCTTGGCATTTGTGTTTAGATGAATGGTGCCAAGTGCAGAGCACTGTGCCAAAGTCAGGGGGCGCTCTTGGTCCATGCAGCCTGCCCTATCCCAGCTCCACCCGGATTTCATCTTGCATGTAAGCAGGGATTTATTATTGCATCTTAATTCTGTGGTGCTTTAAAGGTTTCATAAAATACCAAGTATGAGGTTTTGTACCATCCAGGGCACATGACAAATGCTTAGTGAGCAGTGGCAACGACTCTTTGTTTTTAGTCCTACTAGTTAGTATTATTACATTCTGTCTGTTGCAGTTTGCTGCTCATTTTTCTCCTGTGACCTCCACCTCCTTTGGAGCATACTGCTGGGTTCCTTGCCTCTCCCTCCTCCTCCAGAGATGTTTCCTGACTTTCTGGGGCTCCCACAACCCACAAGCTCCCCTCTCCCCACTCCCCAGGACCGGGCTCACGCCGAGGTGATGGCTCTGTATCGCTCCAGGCCAGCTGTGTCCCAGATCTGCGCCTTGACAGCAGAGGTGCCCAGCATTACAGTGCGGGTAGAAAACTCAACCCCGATGGTGGTACGGCTGTCGTGGCTGAACTCATTGCGTGTGAATCGGGACAGCAGATTGGTCTTGCCCACACCTGACTCGCCGATCAGCACCACTGAAGGAGCAGAGAGATAATGACTGAGCACAGGGCACAGCAGCCCCAAGCCACACCTGAGCTTGGAGGGTCTGTTCAGCAGAAAGGGGGAGCTGTGCCAGGCGACTGTGGCTCATGAGCTACTCAGGAGGCAGAGATCAGGAGGATCATAGTTTGAGCCAGCCCATGCAGAGTTAGCAAGACCCTATCTCAAGAAAACCCATCACAAAAAACGGGCCAGTGGAGTGGCTCAAGGTATAGGCCCTGAATTCAAACCACAGTACTGCAAAAAAAAAAAAAAAAAAAAAGGGGGTGGGGGTAGGGAACTGAGCTCAGAAAACTGAGTAGGGAGCTGGCTCTCCTGGCAGAGACTGAGCATGCAACTCTGCATCCACAGTGCATTGGTCCTGGGATATGAAGGGCCAGGAGGTTAAAACAAGCAAAGGAGCTATAAGGATTACAGGCGTGCTCTGTTAAGCAGTGAGTGCAGAGCCAGTCAGCATTGCTGGTGAGAGTGACTTCTGTGGGCTGTGTATGGGTGTAATGTGGAGAGGTTACTGAGGTGTGTAAACATGGAAAAGGGCTGAGTGTGATGGCTCATGCCTGTAATCCTAGCCACTCAGGAGGCGGAGATTGGGAGGATTGCAGTTGAGGCTAGCCTAGGCAAAAAGTTTTCGAGACCCTATCTCAACCAATTAAAAAAAAAAATTGTCATTGTGGTATGTGCCTGTCATCCCAGCTACATAGGAAGTGTAAATAGAATGGTGGTCCAGGCCAGCCTGGGCATAAAGACAAGACCCAATTAAAAAAAAATAACTAAAGCAAAAAGGGCTGGGTTTGTGGCTCAAGTGGTAGAGCACCTGCCTAGCCCTGAGTTCAAACCCATACTGCAACCCCCACCACCACCACCAAAAAAAAAAAAAAAGCCATATTTGTACAGGGCAAGAAGGAGCTGGAAGCACTCCGGGTGTGTGTTGGTAAGGGCATGTGTATGTGTGTGTTCCTGCCTCTTCTGTACTAGGAACCTCATCCCTATTTTGTCTCTTCCAGTGGGTGGGCACCCAGCCCTGACCTCGGGTCCTATAGTTGCTCAGGGCAAGCATTTTGGAGTCAAACAGGTTTAACTACTACTGACTTCATGACCTTTTGTAAGCTACTCACTTCTAAACCTTAATTCCTACATTTGTAAAATGGAGATACCAGTGGTGAACATTTATTGAATGCTTACTAAGTGCCAGGCACAATCCTAAAAAGCTTTACACATATTCACTCATTTAGTCCTCAGGACAATGCCCTGAAGTAAATGCCATTATTATTTTTCCCACTTTTATAGACAAGGAAGGCCCTTGGGTGGTCAAATGACTTGCCCAAGATAACACAGCTAGTGTGGTAAACATAGAGATGGACTGTCTAGATCACCTTCAAGGAAGGACTGAACCCACTCCCATCATTGCAGGAGCACAGGCAGACAGCCTCCTCAGCTCCTTCCACAGCTGCCTCGGGGGTGGATACATGTTAGGTCTTTCCCAGGTAGCCCTATGCAGAGCCCCAAACAAGGTGAGGCCATCCCAGACCTTGATCCAGGCTTTGTGGAGCCCGCATTGCAGTTGACTTCTCCCTCCGCACAGCACAGTTCTGTGTTTCCTTCCCTTTGCTGTCAGACATGTTGTCTGTAATCAACACTGAACACCTCAAATTTCTCAGTGTCTGCTTCTGGAGACCCCACTTGCATTAACTTCTAAGTGGCAGAGCTGAGATCTGAACTTGGTCTGGCTCCTGGCCATTGTGTTATACTGCCTCTCTGAAAAATATTTTTTGGCTGGGTGTGAGTGCATGTCTGTAATTCCAGCACACGGGAGGCTGAGGCAGGAAAATCTCAAGTTTGAGGCCAGCCTGTCTGGGCTAATCCTATCTCAAAAGCCAAAAAAAAAAAGGAAGGAAGGAAGGAAAAAAAAAGAAGGAAGGAAGGAAGGAAGGAAAGAAAGATAACGAGGGGGTGGTTATAGTGATTAACAAGCTAGTAGTTGAAACCTAGTAAGAACTCAATAAACAGTAGTAATTACTACTAGTAGTAGTATTGCTCCCAAACTATTGTCAAGCCTTTCCCTATCTCCCCTTCCTGGGAAGGACGCCTGGAGTACAGTTTCCCCAGCTTGTGTGAGGGCAGGGCTGCTGGCTGGTAGAGGCAGTAGGGTGGGGTAGCTGGAAAGGGAAGGAGAACCTACAGGTCCGCCCAGCCTCAAGTAGGTGTGGAGGTGGGGTTGGGAACCACAGAGGAACCAAACACAGGGCTAAGATAAAGAAGCAGAAAGGACACATGACCACTTTCAGGGACAACCAAATTGAACCTGGTGCGTGGTATCCAGGTCCAAGAGATGTGCCAAAACTCAGCCAGACAAGACTTAAGCCCAGGAGTCCTGTGGATTCTTGGTGATACTGGGGTTTGAACTTGGGGCTTTACACTTGGTAGGCAGGTGCTCTACCACTTGAGTCACTCCACCAGTCCTATGGATTCTATCAGATCCTGCTTCAAACTCATTACATCTTTTCTTCTGCATTTATTATCTAGCCTGATAATACTTAGATCTCTCCTTTCTTGTACACCTGCCCAGAAAAATGACTTTCTTCCCCCTTAAATCTGTTTGTTTCCCCTCTACCCAATTTGGAAGTCCTTTCTGAAGTCTGACTTCCATCTCTTGTGCTGCAGTGGTTGACTATTCCAGGGATTTGGGCTTCCATTAGTACTGGGGCAGGGGAGCCTAACTCAGCAATATAAAGGAATTTATTACAGTGGAGCAATGTCAGGCCTTTTGCCCTATAACCTCTCATTCTCTGAAGCTTTCTTTCTTAGCCTGAGTGTTGGATGAGCCCTGGGAGGTCCTGGTAAAAGATTAAAAAACAGGAGAGCCTCCCCCACCCCCCTCCCTCAGCCCTTTCTGGTCCTATTTATCTCTTTTTGCTCTCTCGGGTTTCCTCTCTCTTCATGGACCCCAACTTACCCTTGAAGACAAAGTTATAATCTTCTTCGGTTCCATTCCCCATCTTGGCTCTGCATGGAGAGTGCAGGTGTCTTTGGGGGGCAGAGGTCACAAGTCTGTGTGTTGGCTCAATGCCCCCAACCGTCAGCTCTTAAGAGACCTGGACCCACCTCTTCTCTCACTGGGGGTCAGGAGACTTATGCAGCCAGAGGGGTTGAGGGCCGACTCAAAGCTAGGCAGCGCCTGGGAGTCTCAACTCTGGCAGGTGGGGGTGCAATGTGGAAGCTGAGAGGACGGAAGCCGAGAACAGGAAGAGCGGGTGGCTGGGGACCTGCAGCCCAGGTGGGTGGAGAGATGATGACGTCAGACAGGTTAGACAGGTTGGGTGTCTGCTCTCAGCCTGGGCTCCTTGGAGTAGAAGAGTCTGACCAAAGGGGGAATTGTTGGGGAAGCTGGGGGCCCAGGACTTTTAGAGAGAGCTCACTGAGGGCTGAGTGCGTATTGCTTGGCTCCAGAATCTGTGGTGAGGGGAGGGGCCAGTCACTAGTGCCCCTCAGGGGAGGAGAAATTGAGTTGGCCTCCTGCTTTTCCTTCAAAGGCTCTGGTAGGAGACACAGTGGGACCACTGGAGGAAGGGCTGTTGGGGCAAAGGGTGGGGGCTGGATACCAGTCATCTTGCTGCAGTGAAAAGCTGCGGGAGCCACACTGTGGCCCCTGTGGCTTCTGCCCCTCCCTAATACCCCAGGGCCTGGGATGGGCAGTGTTTCTCACCTTGGGTGGAGCTGGGACTCACAGTCTACCCATCGCCTGGGATGGGTCTTTTCCAATGGCATTGGGGCACTGGTAGCTCCTTAACAAACCTGCTCTAGAAACATTGGGTAGAGTGAGCAGAGGCAGAAAGGGCCAAATGGGGTGAATATAGGGATATGACCTGGAGATGAGGCCCCTGAGATGTCTGGGGTTTGTCTACTACTACTTGACCAGTAATTGAGATCTCATATCAAAGGCATCCTGTCTGTAAAGAGCTTTAAGATCTGGAGAAGGAAGCAGAGTGTGATAGTTCATACCTGTAATACTAGCCCTTAGCAGTCAGAGGAAGGAGGATCATTAACTGTGGGGTTTGAACTCAGGGCTTCATGCTTGCTAGGGCTGACTTCAAACCGCGATCTTCCTGATCTCTGCCTCCTAAATAGCTAGGATTACAGGCGCCTGGCTTTTTTTTTTTTTTGGCAGCACTGGGGTTTGAACTCAGGATCTCACATTGCTGAGCAAATGCTCTTACCCACTTGAGCCATCTCACCTGTCCTTTTTTGTAATTGGTTTTTGCAAGATAGGGTCTCTCAAATTATTTTCCCAGGGCTAGCTTTGAACCTGCACTTTTGATCTCTGCTTCCTAAGCAGATAGGATTACAGGTGTAAGCAATGGGTGCCTGACTTCAGAGACCCTATCTCAAAAACAAAATAAAAGGACTGGTGGAGTGGCTCAAGAGGAGAGCACCTGCCTAGCAAGCGTGAGGCCCTGAGTTCACACCCAATGGCCACCAATAAATAAATAAATGACAAAAGGGCTGTTGGCATGGCTCAAGTGGTATTGGGCTTGCCTAACACATAAGAGGCCCTGAGTTCAATAATCAGTATTGTCCCCACCAAAAAAACCCAGAGATAGTCTGGGTGCCTTATGAATGCCTGCAACAAGGAATTGTGGGGCACCTCCCAGTTCCTAGAGTAGGAAAGGCACTCCTCTCAAAGCCCAGAAGGACATTGAACTCCCAGGGTCCTACATCCTTTTTGTCCAATGACTGGGCTTTGTTCTTCTGAGCTCGTGACCAAGGTTTTGCCAACCAGGTGAGTAGGATTCTGCTCTGAGGGGCAGGGTGAGGTAAGTCACACCAATGAAGAGGCCAAGGCAGCTAGGGTACCATACGAACCACTGGGTCTGGGAGATCAAGGTGGAGTGAACAGAAGAATCCTCTCAGCCATCCCTGCCCCTTCCCATGTCCTCTGCTTCACCTAAGAACATAGACAAGCTGGGTGCTAGAGGCTCACGCTTGCCTGTAATCCTAGTTACTCAGGAGGCAAAGATCAGAAGGGTGGTGTTCGAAGCCAGCCCTGGGAAAATAGTTCCCTAGACCCTATCTCAAAAACCCATCACAAAAAAGATTGGTGGAGTAGCTCAAGCGGTAAGAGCACCTGCCTTGCAAGTGTGAGGCCCTGAGTTCAAACCCCAGTCCCACAAAAAAAAGGAAAATAGCCAAGCCAAGCCGGGCATGAGGGTACATGCCTATAATCCAAGCACTCTGAGGGCTGAGGCAGGAGAATTTTGAGTTTGGCCAGCTTGAGCTATATAGCCAGACACTATCTAACCAAATTAAAAAAAAGAAAGTAAGTAGCCCAGACTCAAGACAGGAATTGAAATTTATTCTGGAAAAAATAAAGTCACTCCTCCCCGCCACAGTCCAGCAAGGTTTTCCAGGGGCCCTGCCCCTCCAAATGGTCATCTCTGTTCTTTGACTCCAGCTTCCATCAAAGCACATTATGATGCTGCTACTTGGGTGAGAGGCTCCTCCAGGTACTGCACTAAGGCCTGGGCCTGCAAGAGGGGAGCACAAATCAGAGCACGCATAGCCTGCCAAATCCAAACCCAGGTCTGCTCCCCATGCCACACTGAGCAAGTAACCAGCCCTCAGGCCCTGCTTTTGGAAATTAGCCCACACCACACATGGCCTGGGAGACAGGAGGACTCCAAAAAGGGGTGGGGATGGGATACAAGGGCTAGGTCCAGGGTGGGAGAGGCATGGACACATACACACCTTGGCTTTGAGCATTCCAAAGCCCACAGTCTCCTTGGCATACATGCACAGCAGAAGGTTGGCCACTCGGGTGATGGCTACACGGCCTTCCTGGTGGAGATGATAGGACAGGATGGGATGGGATGCTCGGTACCCTTAGCCCCCTCCTTCCCTGGGGCTCTTCTGGCCCTAGAGACATCTTCCATCTATGTCCTGGGCACAGCAGGGGGTTCACCTAGGAAGCTTTGGTCAGTCATAATGTGGGAAGTCTAGGTTCCAGCCTCAGCTTAGCCACCTACTGACTAAGTTACTGGGAAACCGAGTCTTCCAGAAACTGTTTATCTTTCTGTAACCCCTAGCCTATCCTAGTTGGTAGGGGTGCTAATATACACATGAAAGAGTTTTGTATTTGCCAAGAGCTGTCCAAACTCTTGTTGGGGGTGAGATGTCCACTCACCCAAAGTCACTGACAGGGCTTGGGAGCAGTAACCCAACTTATTTCTCTTTTCCCATGGTATTGTTTTTGAAACTGCAGCTCAATTAAGAGGGTTTTGATCAGCATTTTAAAAAATAAGTGAGATGAAGTACACTGCATGTAGTAAGGGATGTACTTTTTTTTTTTTTTTTTTTTTGTGGCACTGAGGTTTGAACTTTTATGACTCCAAGAGGACCAACCTTGTTGATCTTTAACCAGGCATCACTCTGCACTTGCTGTTCTGCCAGAAATAGTCTTCCTCCAAATAGACACAGGCTTTACCATCCTTCAAATCTTTGTGGGTTTTTTTTTTTTTTTTTTTTTTTGCAGCACTAGGTTTTAAATTCAGGACCTCACACTTGCTAGGCAGGTACTCTTCCTGCTTGAGCCACTCTGTCGGCCCATTTTTGTGATGGGCTTCTTGAGATAGGGTATCAAGATGACTTTGAGCTGTGATTCTCCTGATTGTTGCCCCCCGGAGTACCTAGGATTACAGGTGTGAGCCAGCAGCACCCAGATCTGTTAGATATTTTTGAGAGAGTCTCAGAACTATTCGCCTGGGGCTGGCTTCCAACTGCCATCCTCCTGATCTGTCATGAGTAGCTAGGATTAAGGCGTGAGCCACAGATGCTCGGCTCCTTCAGATTTTTGATGGAATGTCCCCTTTTTAAATGAAATATCTCTGACACATGCCCCTGCCACAGTCTCACTCACTTCCCTGCTTTTTTTTTCCTCTATTATACTTTCAATGTCTAACACACTATATGTTTTACTTCTTTTAAAACATTTATTAAGACTTGTAAGCTTCATTAGAGCTGGGGGTTTTGTCTTTCCTGCTTACTACTTTTTCACTAGTCCTAAGAACAATGCAGGGGCCGAAATACTAGTTGACTGAACAGATAGAGAGATGAATGAGACAGTCCCTGCTTCCAAGAAGTTCAGTCTAATGACCACTTCCCCTTTCTGGACTTCATTTCCTTTCTTTGTAAACTGAGGAGGTGGACTGGGATGCACAGACTCTGGTGGTTCTGTAAGTCTATAAAAGTGAGATGACAACACTTCATATTTTGACATCACTAATGTTTATGTACATTTTCATTTGATCTTAACATCCTGAGAGGGGAGGGGAACTGAGAAATGATTGTTTCCTCCTTAGATATGAGATAAGGAAGCTCAGAGAGGATACGTGACTTACCCAAGTTTCCACATTTGACAAGTGGATGGCTGGGACCAGAACCCAAGTCAGACCTCAGGTTCAGGGCTCCTTCCTCACCACCACTTGATGAACATAGGGTCCTGCCTATTACAAATGCTGCTGCAGACCAACTCTTGGTATTCGTCCGGAGATCCTGTCCCTACCCCTCCAACCATCCAGGATGGGGTTCGGGTCGCCCCCTTGGGATCCCCGTGGGGAGCAGAGGAGGTCTGACTCCCTTCTCCATACCATGCAGTCCATGAGGATGAATTTGAGATTGTCTTCATTAAACGCTTGGTTCCCATTCCGGTCGTAGGCGGCCCAGATGTTACTGGCGATGGCCGCGGTGACCCGGGCGTCCGTGTCCCCATAACCCGAATAGGCCAGCAATGATCCCTCGTTATTCAACAGCCTAGCGAGGAGCAGGGAGGGATACAGACATACTCAGGGGGAAGAGTGAAATGCCTGGATTCCTATACCAACTCCCGCTCCCGGCGCTCCTAGGAAGCAAGGGTATGGGCTGAATGTGGACTGCAACGTGTTCTAAACACCCAGCATACCGGCATCCCCTTTCCGCAAGGGGATCTCACGGCCGGTTCCCCCAGTTGCTGCTGCCAGCCTGTGAGGCCTCCTCCCACAGTGGCGATCCTTCCCCACCCCTCCCTGAAGCAGCCGTACACCGCCCCATTCGGGCTCGCCGCTCGGGCTCTCGGTGCGCACTCACAGGGTGCTTTGGACTCCGCCAGTGTTGGCTTGGCTTAGCACCTGGGTCAAAGCCTTGGGACGCAGCATGCCTGCAGCTCCTAACACTGGGCTTCGGCTCGCAGATCCTCGGAGTTCCCTCCAGCCAGCCTCTGCCTGCCGCTTTCCGTAGCCCAGCAGCCCTGCTCCACCTGGCTCTGGGAGTTGTAGTCTCGTAGCTTTACTATTGCGCTCTGACTCAACCCCGCCCCGCGCGATGGGTTCTGGGAATTGTAGTTCGTGGTCTCGCGAGGCACCCTGGGAATTATAGTATGTCTTTGCAGTCAAACCACGCGGCTATGAGCCGGAGTGAAAGGATAGTAGCAGTGTTGGAAGGACTTTTAACACGTTCGGGGAGAGGGACTCATGTCGGTTTGGCAATCCGAGATTCAATAATATAATAAATAATAATAGCTCTATTTGTTTCGTACACCTTTGTTAATCTGCAAAGCAGTTTTTCTACGTTATGCATAATTGTGTGAGGAGATATAAGAGGTACTACGGAGGAACCAAGGCTCAGAAAGAACACGTAGGCAAAACCCAGGGTTCTAGAACCGTACTTAATAGACCATCAGGCCAGGGCCCGCCGGGAAACAAGGGCTCAGTCCTGAAGAAATCTTTATGGAGGTCCAGCGGTGGGAAAATAAACCTTGGGAGTTGGGAGATGCCCAAGGCCTGGAAGAGATTTGGGCCTCCCAAGAAAGTCCAGGTTATCACTAGGAATGGAGATGAAGCAGCGACACAGAAAGTCCTTTGTCCCGGAGCCAGAGTTGCCCGCGGAGGGGCGGGGGCAGCTTTGGCCGTAGGGAACCGTGGGCGGGCAAGGATGTGCGGTGGTCTCCCGCCCCACCGGGAAGGGCAAGCCCCGCCCCGCCCCCGCCCGAGTCCCTCCGGGGTCACCACCCCTCGCGGCCCAGTCTTGCTGCCGGGCTCCAGGCTCGGCCCTGGGCGGACCCCGCTGCAGTGGCCCCCCCAGTCCGCCCGGGGCGCTGTGGCTGCGGTTGGTCCGGAGGGGGCGGCGAAGCCTTGGGGAGCGGAGCGGAGGGGAAGGGAGGGGAGGGGAGGAGAGGAGGGGAGTTGGAGGCGCCGGAGCCGAGCCGGGCCGGCCGGGCGGGCGGGGTGGAGGAGGAGCCGGGCGGGCTGGCGGGCGGCCGGGTGGCGGCGGCGGCATGGCGGAGCCGAGCGGGGCCGAGGCGAGGCCCCCTATTCGGGTCACCGTCAAGACCCCCAAGGATAAGGAGGAAATTGTGATCTGCGATCGAGCCTCGGTCAAAGAGGTAGTACGACTGGGGGGGGGAGTTTTGGGGGGAGGAGCGTGGAGGAGGGGTCAGCGAAGAGATGGGGGAGCCTCAGTGACGGCCTGGCGTCGGGACGGCCCCCGACAGGAGGGCGGGAGACAGTGGAGACTGCGAGGAACCGGAGCGAAGGAGAAGCGGGTAGGGGGCGCCATGCAAGGGTTGGTCTCCGGGAGCGTGGCGCGTGTTTGGGGGGAGCGGGTTTGGCTGTGTGGACAGGGCTGGGGGCGTGGTGGAGAGCCGGGAAGGGACGCCTTGCACCAGACTGGGGAAGAACCCTGGGCTCGAGGGGAATGTGTGCCCAGGTTGTTGGTCGGGGTTCGAGGCACCAAGACAGCGTGGGGCCCCACCAAGGTGCTGAACCAGGAGAAGACACGGGGGGCGTTTTGAGCGCCTGGCGCCTGCTGTGCGCCTGGGAGAACGCCCAGGGTTCGCTGAGCGCGGGGGCGGTGGGAGCTTTTCCTCACCCCGATCCTCCCCACTCTCTCAGATTCAGGTGGTTACATTTGGTTCTCTGTTCTTCTGGGATTTCCAGAGCGCAGTAGGTGCTCAATAAAATTTTGTTGACTGCGTGAACGGGGACTATTGCCTGCCGTGCTCGCCAGTGCTTCAGAATTTCACATAGGCAGGGCTTAATCTGGTTGGAAGAGAGAGATCTGGAAGCTGCTTTTGCTTATCAAGTGCAGTGTTTATACTTTGTGTGTTTCGTTTTGTTTTGGAGGGGCGAATAGAATTTGGAGTCTTACTATTCCCAAGGTTCCACTGGTGTCATCACTGCTCCCCAACCCCATACAATACAGAGTATATATTTACTTATATGCAGACCGTTGCTGAATTTAAATAGTGTTGCATTGCAAAACTGAAGTTGGAAACAGCTCTAATTGAGAGACGGTGTGTTTGTTAGGAGCCTGGCCATTGGTGTCTTCCCAGAACAAGTTACCCAACCTCTCTGATCCTCAGTTTTTTCTTCTTTAAAATGGAGAAAATAATTAATACACTAGATGGCTAACTCGTGAATAGTTAAGGCTCAGTTGTAGCTATTGTAGTTGTTGTAGGGAAGCTGGGAAAAAAGAATAGAGAAAAATAGAAGAAAAGCCTGAAGGGAGACAGCTTGGGTCCAAGGCTGTTTGAAGGAGTTGGGAGGGGAAGACTGCCCAGGTAGTACCCTAACTGGAAACTGGGTAGAAGGAAAGAAGTTGGGATGACTGATAGCAGCAGGGATTTTTTTTTTTTTTTTTTAGGGTGGGAGACTGGGACGAAGCTGTGAAAATAGCTTGCTGGTCCATCTCCTTGATTAAGAAAAAAGCGGCTGGGCTAGGGATGTAGATATGGCTCAAGTGGTGCAGGCTTTCCTAGAAACTCAGGCCCTGAATTCAATACCCAGTACCACCAGAAAAAGAAAGAGAAGAAAAAAAAAAAGGAGCTGTTTATTGCAGCTGAAGGGTCTACACCTTGAGCTGCTCCACCAGCCCTTTTTTGTATTGGGTTTTTTTTTTCCTCGAGATAGAGTCTTACAAACTGTTTCCCTGGGCTGGCTTCAAACCACGATCCTCCTGATCTCTGTCTCCTGAGTAGCTAGGATTACAGGTGTGAGTTACCAGCCCCCAGCCAACCAGACATTCCTGAAGAGGCAGGGTCCTTGGTGAATGCAGCCCAGGCAGCCTCCATAGTGATCTCTGCCTCTCGATCACAGTTCAAAGAGGAAATCTCCCGGAGGTTTAAGGCTCAGCAGGATCAGCTGGTCCTGATCTTCGCAGGCAAGATCCTCAAGGATGGAGACACACTGAACCAGCATGGGATCAAGGATGGGCTCACAGTCCATCTGGTCATCAAGACCCCTCAGAAGTAAGCTCAGGAGAGATCTGGCTTCTGATTGGGACCCCCCCCCCCATTCAATACCTAGAGGGTCTGTGCCCAGGCCCAGGGGGGTGGCTCCTGGGTGGATAAGATCTCACCTCATGGAAGGGTCCTCTGATGATACTGAGGACCTTTTCCCTCTCCCTGGTTTACTGACTGCCCCCTAGCATCACCCCACTCCACCCTGAGGTGACTGGGACAAGGGTTGCTCAGGAGGTGGCTTGGGCTGGCAGTGGTTGCACAGCCTACACAGAGATCACTGTGATAGTACCTTCCTTCTGTGCTCATTCACTCCAACCAGGATTCTCTTTCTCTGTCCTCAGGGCTCAAGATCCAACTGCTGCTACTGCTTCTTCCCCCTCTACTCCTGACCCTGCCTCAGCACCCTCCACCACACCTGCTTCACCTGCCACCCCTGCCCAGCCTTCCACCTCTGGCAGTGCCACTTCAGATGCTGGCAGTGGAAGCCGGAGAAGCAGTGGGGGGGGTCCATCTCCAGGGGCTGGGGAAGGACCCCCGAGTGCTGCTGCATCTATTCTCTGTAAGCCCTTAGGGAGGAAAACACAATCTTGTGTTGGGCTGGGGCATGGGGAAGAGCCAAAAGGAGGGGGAAACATGGTTACGGCTTTACTCCCATGGGGATAGGGAACCATGGGGATACAGGATTCCAGACCTTGGTGCTTGAACCAAGTTTGAGAGGAAACTAGTTCATGAGTGCTTCCCAGAGGAGGGGAGTATAGGCAAGTGTGAGGAATGAGGGAGAAAGGGGGCTAGGGATGTAGGGGGCTCTGGGTGAGGCAATCAGAAGAGTCAGAAAAAGGTGGCTCCAGTAGTATACCAGATGGGAAGTGTTTATTTGCTCATTCAGTAGGTCACTGCTGAGTGCCTTTGCTCTGCTCATTTTGTGCTTAGCTCAGCCTCTGCCATCAAAAAGGTCTCAGTACTGTAAGATCACCTCTTTGCCAGAAGCAGATCAGGCCTGAAGCTGTGGGAATGACCGGAAAAGGGAGATGAGAGAGGCAATTGGGGCCCATGCTGGAGACTCAAATTCTGGCTCTGCTCAGTGGGAGAAAGGCTCTTGGGGTAGACGGTGATCCTGCCCCCTCCCCACAGCTGGCTTTGGGGGCATCCTGGGGCTCGGCAGCCTGGGCCTGGGCTCTGCCAACTTCATGGAGCTGCAGCAACAGATGCAGAGGCAGCTGATGTCCAACCCTGAGATGCTGTCACAAATCATGGAGAATCCCTTGGTCCAGGATATGATGTCTAATCCTGATCTGATGCGGCACATGATCATGGCCAACCCCCAGATGCAGCAGCTAATGGAGCGGAACCCTGAGATCAGCCACATGCTCAACAACCCCGAGCTCATGAGGCAGGTGAGTATTGAGAAAAGGCTACGAGGGAGGTGGGGAGTGGAGTCCCACCTGGCCTTTACTACCTTGTCCTACACTGCTGTTGGCTGGCCTGCTCATTCATTTAGCAACTGTATTTTGAATACTCGAAGTATAGTTATGAAAAGATGAAGGCCTAGCTTCAAAGAGAAGTGGGACAAGTAAACAGGCCACTGTAATGTAGTTCTGTTGGTGTTGTCCTGAGGATAATCACAGGATCCCCTACGAGGATAAAGAAAGGCTTCTGACCCTGGGGCTTATTGGAAGGTCTTCTGGAGGAAGTGTCACCAAGCTGAGGCCCAAAGGAGAAAAGCGAGTGAACCAGGGAAGGAAAAAGAGTATTGAGGGCCAAGGGCAGCAAATACAAAGGCTGGGAGTAAAAAGTGGTAGAATGTTTGGGGATCATTGTTGCTGGGCAGGCCCAGTAGGGCAGGAGACCCAGGGGATGCTGTTTTGTTCTTTTGGGAGTTCATGGTCCAGTTCACCAAGGGACAAGGAAGGATGGTCTTCCCAGCAGAGTTGTGGATATCATAGGTAGACTTGCTAGAAAATAATGTCCTAAAGGGCAAGGGTTTTTGAGTGTTTCATTTCCTGTCTAAAACTGTGCCTGGTACATAGTAATCACTCAACAAATACTGGATGAATGAATTACAGGACAAGAGATAAGAGATCAGAGTCCTGTGAGGCTGGGTGTATCAGTCTAAGGTGTCTTTTTTTTTTTGCAATTTTTAAGAAGGCACCTTAGAAGACGCAGGTGTGGAACAGATTTGGAAGGAGAGGAAAGATATATCAAGTAGAATGAGAACAAGAAGTAGCTGTTCTCTCTTTATCATGGACTCCCTGGGCTTGATACCAGCAACTCCTCATTGAGAGCATAAGCTCCAAAGAAGAAAGTTCTTATCCTCGGTGTTGCTCAAGATTCCATCAGGCCACAGACCTGGGAGTGGGCTTAGAGGGCATCAGTAGCATTGTTCCAGCCTGAATCCTTTCCCTGTTCAACTTGAGGTCATTCACCAGGAATCACATTACGGTCTTAGACAGGCCAACCTGGCCTTGAAACCACCTGAAAGTGGCTTCTACCACTAACTGGTTGTGTGTCCCAGGGCGACAAATCCTTGAAAATGAGCCTATTTTTTCATCTGCAAAGTAAGGACAGGAGTACTTACCTATTGTGGGGATTACATGACTTAAATTCTGTAGATTACTTAGCCCAGTGCTTGTATGTAGTAGGTACATAGTACATGTTAATTTTCTCTCTGCCTCCTCCCCTTTCTTATGTCCCTTCTTTCTCAGTTTCCTTGTGCTCCCTGACACTTGTGTGGGCCCTCTGAGTGTGAGAAAGTGAAGCTGTGCCTTACCCCATATGGGAGCATCGTCCCCAGTAAGAAAAAGCTAACCAAAATAACCACAGGGAAGCAGGGTTGGGCCCCAGATTACAGTAGAGGAAGGAAGTCTGGTTTGCCCTACTCCCTGCCATTGTGGGGTGGTTCTCACATTTTTGATGCAGAGCCCCCTCCTCAGGGCCCATCCTTTTCCTAGCTTCGTGCTCCCCTGGTTCCAGGGCCCATTCCATCTCTCTCCCTTCACCAGACAATGGAGCTTGCACGGAATCCAGCCATGATGCAAGAAATGATGCGGAACCAGGACCGAGCCCTGAGCAACCTGGAGAGCATCCCTGGGGGGTATAATGCTCTCCGCCGCATGTACACGGACATCCAGGAGCCTATGTTCAGTGCTGCCCGGGAACAGGTGGGGCCGGGGGTGGGGGCACTGGGAGGGGCTGTCTGGGCTCAGGATTCCCTTCTCCCTAACCCAGGCAAGCCCAGGGTACTCTCTGCCCTCTTTACTTCCCCAGCCCTATGAGGAGTGGGCCTTGGCTTGAAGGCATTCTCAACAGAACAGAGCCAGGGATGGTCCAACTTAATGTGGACAGAGTCACAAGAGTGGAATATGGCAGAGGTCCCTAGGGTTAAGTGGGTTAGGTGTAGTGTCCGAGGGACTTTACATTGTTCTGACAAGCTTCCTGCACCAGGAGATTGTGCACAAATCAAAGATTGTGGGGCAGAGCTGGGGTCAAACACCAACCTAATACAGTATGTCTCAAGGGTGGTGCATCAGAATCACCTTGGGAGCTTGTTAATCATGATTCCTGGCCCCACCTTTGAGGTACCTATTGAGTCAATATCTGAGGTCATGGCCTGGGATTATGCACTTTATTTATTTCCTTTTTTTTTCTTTCTTTTTTTTTGGCAGTACTGGAGTTTGAACTCAGGGCCTGAGTCTTGCTAGGCAGGCACACTACCACTTGAGCCACTCACCAGCCCAATATGTACTTTAAAAATGCTTTATGAGGCTGGGTGCCAGTGGCTTAAGCCTATAATCCTAGCTACTCAGCAGATAGAGATCAGGACGATCAAGGTTCACGGCCAGCCCAGGCAAAAAGTGAGATTGTATCTCAAAAATATCCAACACCAAAAAGGGCTAGTGGAGTGGCTCACGTGATAGAGCAGCACCTGTCTAGCAAATGTGAGGCCCTGAATTCAAACCCCAGTCCTACCCCAAAAAAAAAAAAAATGCTTTATGAATTCCTTCTAAGTATACAAAAATTAGTAATTGAAAAAAAAAGAATAGATAAAAATGTACCATTCTCTCTCTCTCACCTCCCCCTCACCCCCCCCCCCCCCCCCCGGTGGTACTGGGATTTGAACTTGGGTCCTCATGTTCATTAGGCAAATGCTCTACCACTTGAGAGCATTCTGCCAACCCTTATGGTTTTTTTGTTTTTGTTTTTGTTTTTTTGTGGTACTGGGGTTTGAACTCAGGGCTTCACCTTGAGCCACTCTATCAGCCCTATTTTTGTGAAGGATTTTTTGAGATAGTTTCTCATGGAACTATTTGCCCAGCTGGCTTCTAGGATTACAGACGTGAGCCACTGGCACCTGGCTCTTTTTTTTTTTTTTTTTTTTTGAGGTGCAGTGTGACAGAGTTTAGGAAAGGAAAAGAAAACAGGAGAAAGCACAGAGACTCCCATGTGGGAGGGAGCTGGAATAAAGCAGTGCAAGCCCTATGCCATTCTCTTGTATCCATGTTGCCATGTAGAATTTCTTTGTCTTTTTTTGTTTCTTTTTTAAAATTTAATTTTACATTAAACACATATCTATATATTTCAAATTTCAGAGCTTACACAAAGTAAACAAAAGAGTATTTGAAAAGTATGAAAAATTACCAAGCTAAAAACAAGTTCACAAAAAGGATCCTTCTGTTTGTATCTCTCATCTACCTCTTTCCTAACCCCTCAGCTACTAATGTTAATGCCTTGTGTATTTTCCTAGATATACATAATATTTGCAAGTAAGTCATTATAGGTAGAGTTGAAGCTTCACATACCCCTTCCCAATCTTACTCCTCCTTCTAACTACTACTCTGATGTTGCTGTTTATCATTCTGATTCTTTTATTACCTTTGAATATGTCATAAACATAGCATTGTTTTGCATATTTTTAAACCTTATAGAAGTGGTATCTTGCTGTTAATATCAATTTAACTTGCTTTTTTTGGAATGTTCTGTTGAAGAATAATGTAAGTATAGGAAAACACAGATATCCTCAGTGTACAGCTTGATGAATTTTCACAATTAGCCAGCACCCAGGTATAAGGGCAGGATCTCACTTTTCCTGATCCTTGTGGAAAGGATAGGCACCATACCCTGAGTGTCCTGTACTTTTTCACAGATGGATCATTCTTGCTGTCCTCTTCCAAGTCTCCAAGATGACAGTGCCTTTTGCTGACTCTTCGTTGTTTGCCTGTCCCTACATTGTCCACATTGTCTAATTGCTCTTGGTTTCTGAAGAGTAAATCCCCCACCCCATTCTTCAACATCGTCTTGGTGCTCCTCCTGCCTCAGCCTTCTGAGTGCTGGGATTACCAGTGTGTACTGCCATACCAAGGCTCGACATTGTTCTTTCAGATTTTAGAAACTGCTTGTAGGGATAAACTATGAAAAATTTTTTAGGTAATTAAAAAAATTATTTAAAATGCTTCATGGTCCTCATTAAAATAAAAAACAAGCTGAGTGTGGTAGTACGCACCTGTGATCTTGGCACTTGGGAGATGAAGGCAGGAGGACCGAGAGTTTAAGGTCAGCCTGGCTACATAGTGAGACTCTGTCTCAAAGAAAATAAAAATCAAATAGTTGAAAAGGTATATAACAAACAATCACTTTCACTAATTCTGCTGCACAGTGAGTGTGAAAAATCACTGGTTTTGGGCTAGTGGAGTTACTAAATGGGAGGGCATCTGCCTAGCAAGTGCAAGGCGCTGAGTTTAAACCCTAGGGGCTGCCCTCCCCACCCCCAAAAAAAAGTATTATCAAACCAGAGCAAAAAAAAAAAGAAAGAAAAACCCAAACTAAAAAACAAACAAACTTGGAGGCAATATTAAAGGAAAATGACTTTAAAAAAAAAACTACTGGTTTTTGCTAAAAGAATATAGCATTTAGCATCCACAGACCTGAGTTCAAGTTCCTGTTCTACCATTTTCTAATGGGTTTTTGTTTTTCTTTCCCCACTTGGTACTGGGGTTTGAATTCAGGGCCTACACCTTGAGCCACTCCATCATCCCTTTTTTTGTGTTGGGTATTTTTGATATAGGGTCTCATGAATTATTTGCCTGGCCTGGCTTCGAACCAAGATCCTCCTGAGTAACTAGAATTACAGGTGTGAGCCACTGGCACCCAGCTTAGTATGGTTTTTAAGGGAATTGCTTATACTCTTTCTGAGTCTTAGCTTTTTCATTTTCAAAACAGAGGTAATATGGAATGGGTGTTGGTGGTTCATGCCTGTAATCCTAGCTACTCAGTAGATAGAGATCAGGAGGATAACTCAAAGCCAGCCTGAGCAAATATCCAGCACAAAAATGGGCTAGCACAGTGACTCAAGTGGTAGAGTGCCTACCTAGCAAGGGTGAGGCCCTGAGTTCAAATCCCAGTACTTCCAAAAAACAAACAAAAGTTATAGAGGATATGATGGAAGTACTTATGCATGTATGTATGAAAACTTTTTTTTTTTTTTGCAGTACTGAGGGTGTGGTACTCAGGGCTTCATGCTTGCTAAAGCAAGCATCTACCTCTTGAGTTTCCAGCCAGTGAAACCCATTTTTTAAAAATGTTATGGAGGATCTTAAAAGAGGTTTTGTTTTTTGGGTCGTATCTATCGATGTCACTATCAGAAATTAAAACTGAGAAATTTTTTTAATATTTATTTAAAAAGTAATGCATTACAAATTAACATAAATACCATTCTTTCAAAACTAACTTTATTTTCCAAAGCTGTAGAGGAAAGTGTGGCCTTGTTTTACATTTTTTGCAGACCTCTTTATGTCTGGCCTAGTATAAGATGCTGGCTTCTCAGATCTGCATTCATTCCATTGAATGTCACATGTTATAGAGCCTTTGGAAGACTCTCCTTTATCCTCATGAGAAAATAACAGTGAAAAAGAGAATGAATGTCTTAAAATTATGAAGTGTTCTAAATCTTGCAGGGGTCCTAGGACCACACTTTGAGAACTCGTGTTTTAGAGAGATATTATGAACATTAGAATAAATATGTCAGGTGATAGTTGGTGCTCAAGAAATAGCAGCTGCTATCACTCTGGGAGTTCAGGAAAAGAGATTTAGTCCTTAGGGTGGACCAAGAAGAAAACAACAGAGTTCAGGACTAGGTGAGGTGAGGTGCTAGATAGGCTACCAGAACAGGAGATCAGAAGTAGGGACAAAGACTGAAACCATGGTGCATGCACCTCGGCTTGTGGGCCCTATTATCTGAACAGGCATCTGGTGATTTGAAGAAACTACAGCTCAGAGTAGGCAAGTCCTTTGTCAGCCCTGTTCCTGTGACCCACTTTGAGCAACAGGAAAAGTGACTGGATGTGAAAGCCCATAGTGGGGAGGGGCTAAGGCTGCTCCTCCTGCTTGCTTGCCTCAGGACCATCTGGAAACTCAGAGAGGTTGCTGCCAAGCTTAGGGTGCTGAGAAAGGCAGAGCAAGTGAAATGGGGTCCAGGAATCCCTCAGCATGCATACCCGTTGGACAGAATCCTGCCCTAGTTGCTGGAGGGGTAAGGAGAGGAGGTTGGTGTTCATATGATTAGGTGCAGACCTGCGTGGTTCTGGGGATACAGTGAAGAGTATGGTACTGAAGTGTGGGAGCAGAGATTAAGGCCTGTTCTGGTCTAAGCAGCCAGGTGAGGAGGTAGGATTTGGGGCCCACCCGAAGAAGAAGGAATCCTCAGCCAGAAGTGTGCTCCTCTAGGGGGCGCCATTGTGGGTGCCTGAATGGAAGAGACCTCTATTTAGGGGATTAGGAGACCTGGGGAGTGAGGAAGAGATTCTTGGGAGTTAGGATTAGACCAAGGTGGCTGGGGAAGGGGGAGCTGAAGGCAGGTCAGGATCAAATCAGAGATCCAGGTCTAAGCCTGCACCCATCAAGCCAGAAGTTACTTACTGAGCATCTATCTACTAGTGTCAGGGCTGGCTGAGGGTGCAAAGATAAATCCAATATTGTTTTGGGCCCTTGCGAGTTCCCGGAAAGCCAGTATCTCACTATGCCACAGGAAAGGTGTGTGTAAAATGCTGTGGGTCACAGAGAGGAGATTAGAGACCAGGTATTTAGAGCCAGCAGGGCAAAGGAGTCATTAGCATCACCCTGTGGGGTGAGGGTGGAGCTGCTCTTTGTGGGGCAAAGAATTGAGCTGACGACGGCTTAAGCTCTGAGAGCTCTCTCCCTTTGCTGGGGAAGGGGAGGCTCTTAGGTGAGAGGAGAGAAAGGGCCTAGCCCTTGTCCCTGATTTATTTCAGTCCTTAACCCGAAACCTTTCCCTCCTCCCAGTTTGGCAACAATCCCTTCTCTTCCCTGACCGGGAACTCCGACAGCTCATCCTCCCAGCCTCTTCGGACTGAGAATCGAGAGCCCCTCCCTAACCCCTGGAGCCCCTCGCCCCCCACCTCCCAGGCCCCCGGGTCCGGTGGGGAGGGCACCGGAGGATCGGGGACCAGCCAGGTGCACCCGACAGTCTCGAACCCCTTTGGGATCAATGCGGCTAGCCTGGGGTCAGGTATGTCCTAGGGTGGAAGGAGCTTAGTGGGGTCACCAGGGCAACCCCTCTGCCCCAGGACTGAATGGGGTTCACACTGCTCCAGGTTATTGAAGACAGAGGTGAGACTATATTAAAGCTACAGAAGGGGCTCAGCAGCCTGGAGTAGTGGCCCCACCACTGAGGGGGTGAGGGCTCTGGCCATGTTTCGAGGTCCCTAGCGGTGACCTAAGTAATAGCTCACAGATAAACCAGGCTGCACCTTCCAAGCTCCATGAGCGCCTCTGGTACCATCCAGTGATAAGTGGGTCAGACGGGGAGGAGGGGTGGGGGAGCTCGGAGAAGAATCAGAGCAGATTCAAGGACAGGCAGATAGGAGGAAGGATGTGCAGGTGTGCCATGTATAAAAGTACAGGTTATACACTGCACAACTTTAGGGTTTGCCCCATTTATCTGGACTGTACACATGACTGGGGATGTCTTTGACAGGTGCCCTGATTTCACTGCATCCTGAGAGATACCTTGATTGGGAAGGTCCTTTCCACTCTAGGTCTTTCAGTTTCCTTATTTATAAAGTAAGGACTAGCACTTGGCCCATGGTTTTAAAATTGTATTCCCGATTTCTGGGAGGTCTAGACCATCTCCAGGCTGACGGAGAACCAAATGAAAGAGGCTCCAAGCTTCCTGCCCTAGCTTCAACTAAACCATTACATACTTGGTATTGGAGTAAGTTTTGGCTTGAGGAAGGAGTCTCTGCTGCTAAGACAGGTTCAAAAACCATTGATGTAGGTGACATTTAATCAGTCCTTTCCAACTCAGACTTTATCTGAGCCTGCAGCAGGAATAGTCCAGAGGGGCATAAATCAGACCCAGTTTCTCACTGGCTTGTCCTTAGCAGAGTAGATGGAAAAGGTCCAGGCCAAAACAGGGCAAGCTGGCCTTGGAGTCAGGAGAGGCTTGGACCCATACCACAGTCCTTGAGTGCCCATTTGACCATTGCTGTCTGAGTTTTCTAACTACTCAGTGTCTAAAGTGAGAGAGATTGAAGTGAGACATCTGGTTTCCATTTGGACCGTTTCTCTCCTGCCTTGTGTCTTCTTCCTTGACCTAGGAATGTTCAACAGCCCAGAAATGCAGGCACTTCTCCAGCAGATCTCTGAGAACCCCCAGCTGATGCAGAATGTGATCTCGGCCCCCTACATGCGCAGTATGATGCAGACACTTGCCCAGAACCCCGACTTTGCTGCTCAGGTATTCAAATTGGCATAAGGAGTGTTGCTGGGGAGAGAGTGGCTGGGGCAGTTTCTCATGGTGGTCAGAACGATCTGGAGCCAGACTGCCTGGATTTGCACTTCATGCTCTGCCATTACCCAACTGTATGAACTAAGCAAGTTAACTTCCCACGATCCTAATGTGCGATATGGTAATAGCAGTAGCTCGTACCTTATCAAGTTGAGGGTTAAAGGAGTTAATACATGTCAAGAGTTTAGAATATGGCGTGGCAAACAGTGCGCACCATGTACTTAGAATGCCAGCCTTCATCACCATTAGACCTAAGCGGAACAGCCTGACCCCTGATAGGCTCTTCATTGCTCAAAACATAGTTCCATTTCTTTTTTTTTTTTTGAGGTACTGGGATTTGAACTCAGAGCCTATACCTTGAGCCACTCCACCAGCCCTTTTTAGCGAAGAGTTTTTTTGAGATAGGGTCTTGTGAACTATTTGCCCGGACTGGCCTTGAACTGCATGATCTCTGCCTCCTGAGTAGCTAGGATTATAGGCGTGAGCCACTGGTGCCTGGCTGCATAGTTCCATTTTTTTTCACGGTCCCACATAGGCCTTCAGGATACTTTGATATTTTTGGAAATGCTGGCCAGGTATCCTACAGTGACAGGGTACCGAGGGGTCTGAGGCTGTGGGGTAGTTCTTAGGGCGGGAAGGCCCAGGCCTCCCTCTACTGACTCCATTCTGGCAGATGATGGTGAATGTGCCACTCTTCGCGGGGAACCCCCAACTACAGGAGCAGCTCCGCCTGCAGCTCCCTGTCTTTCTGCAACAGGTGAGTGAGGAGCCTTGTCATGTAGGGGTGGGAGACCAGGAGTGAACCCAGAAACCCAGTGGGTAGGATGAAGTATAGAGGACAGGGCTTGACTTGGGCTTTGGACTGTCTCCTCATTCCTGCCACCTCCTCTTCCCTTTCTCTGCTTGATTCCCACCAGATGCAGAACCCAGAGTCACTCTCTATCCTCACCAATCCCCGTGCCATGCAGGCCTTGTTGCAGATCCAGCAGGGACTGCAGACTTTGCAGACTGAGGCCCCTGGACTGGTACCCAGGTAAGGGGGAATTTGGGTCGCTGCTCTGCCCCTTCATCCCTTCTCTCTGGCCCTCTTGGAGCCGGCTTTGTGTCCCTGAGGATCTCTCTTCTCTCTCTTCCTGTTTCCCTTTCCAGATCTCACATTCCCAAACCCCCGCCCACTCCCTATTTCTTTTTCTTTCTTTCTTTTTTTTTGAGGAAGGATCTTGTTGTGTAGCCCAGGCTGGCCTGAAACTAAGATTCTCCTGCTTCAGCTTCCTGCTGGGATTACCAGCTCCCCTTCCTTTTTTTTTTTTTGGCAGTACTGGGGTTTGAACTCAGGGTCTCACCCTTGCTAATTAGGTGTTCTACCACTTGAGCCAGTCCACTAGCCCCTCCCTTCCCTTTCTTGAATGACATCTCCCACCTCTTGATCTCTCCTGCCTGCAGCCTTGGCTCCTTTGGGATGTCCCGGACCCCAGCACCCTCGGCAGGCAGCAACTCTGGGTCTGCAGCTGAGGCCCCCACCTCCTCACCAGCCACGCCAGCCACATCTTCTCCCACTGGGGCTTCCAATGCCCAACAGCAGCTCATGCAGCAGATGATCCAGCTTTTGGCTGGAAGTGGAAACTCACAGGTACGTGCTGGGACCACCCCTTCCGTTTTGGCAGCATCAAGGGTATCAATAGAGTGGAGTTAGCAGAGCAGGCTTTGCAGGTAACCAGACCTTGCTTTAGGTTCTGGTCCACTACTCACCAGCCTTGGGCAGGTTGCCAGTTGTCCCTGGATTCAATTTCCATGGCTGTAAAGTGGAGATGAGAATTGTGATAGTACTTACTATGTACTCAGTACTATTCCGAATGCTTTACATAAGAGACCTTATTTTCTACAACAGCCTTGGGAGAAAGCTATTGTTTTCTCTGTGTTGCAGATGAAGAAAACCAAGGCCCAGAGAGGTTAAGTGGCTTGCTCACTTACATATCTAGTAGGTGGTAACAGCTGAAATAACCAGAACTCTGGTCTATTTTGTTGGGGGCATGGCTCAAGTAGTAGAGTGTCTGCCTAGCAAGCACAAGACCCTTAGTTCAAACCCTAGTCCTGTCAAAACAACAGCAACAACAAAGACAGTCTCCACAGGGTGAATCCTATCCCATTTCACAAGGCCTATCTCCTCTAGGTGCAGACGCCAGAAGTGAGATTTCAGCAGCAACTAGAGCAGCTCAATTCCATGGGCTTCATCAATCGTGAGGCCAACCTGCAGGCCCTGATTGCCACAGGAGGGGACATCAATGCAGCTATTGAGAGACTCCTGGGCTCCCAACTCTCCTGATCCCTTGGCCCATGCCTACTGCCTGTCCTCCCACTCAGTGCCAGCCTTTGGTTCCTCTGTCAGCCCCTTGCCCTCTGCAGCTTGTCCCTGTTTTCCTTGTCCTCCCCAAATAGCAGGGTGACCTTAGGGGCATAGGCCCTGACCCCATGACTTTGAGAACTTTGGTTTTATTGCTGTCTCACAGAATCTTCTCTCCTGATCCTCCTTGAGCAGAGCTATTTAAAATGGTTTTCACAGTTCTGTTGACTGGCCCTCCTCCTTCCCCACAACCACCTTTTGCAATCTGCAAACTTCTTAGTGGGACTGCAGAGTCAATAGGAGGACCCAGCTGTCTGGTTTACTAGAACAGTCTTCCATCGGTACCACTAGGGTTTAGCTTGCCTTACATTTACTTTTAGTAACTCATCCTTCTCCCTACCCTAGCCCATCCAGTGCTAGAATTTTACACTCTAAAGGTAAGGGGTAGGTGAAATAGGCTGTGATTTTCCTCCTCGATTCCTGTTCTGGTCACTTCATCCAAGTGACTTCCAAGGCAAGGAGGAAGGTGAGACATAGCCCTCTGGACAAGAATCAACAAGGCTGGATCAGCCCAGTGGAGACTGGTACAGAAGAGGAGGGATTGAGATTTCTTGGAGGAAGAGAGTAGGGGGGAGACAGTCTGAGAAAAAGTGTGGAAGCTGGGATTGTTTTAGGCTGGAGAATCTAGGCCCAGGCTTGGCAGAGAAGAAATGGACATACTGGTGGAATTTGAATTGAAGGAAGGGGCTCGATGAAGCTAGGCAGTGTGTTGGCTCCATTTCTTCAAACAGCTGCACACACGTTTCCATGAGCCCAGGATCTATCTGTGTCTCCAGGCCCCAGTAATTTGAGCCCCCTCAGAAGATATGAAGAGATTGGGATCTGTCTCAGGGGTGTGTGTGTGTGTGTGTGTGTGTGTGTGTGTGTGTGTGTCTGTGTGTGTGTGTGCGCATATGCATATGTGTCACACATGTGAGTTGGGTAGGCATGTATTCTGTATTGATTCTTGGTTCAGATCTCACTCTCACCAGAAGTAAGTGGATAAAGGGGCCAGTCTAGAACAGGAATACACATAAAAGAACAGGGTCCTCTGAGCCTCCCGATGCTGGTTAACCAAAAGGCAGTAAGGGTAGTCTTTCTGAAGCTGTTGGGGCTGTGACTGGCACCCTCACCACCCATCACTTCATTGGGGAGTAATAGTGAGGTTTCTCTTCAAGAGCCCCTGGCCTTTCAGTTCTTCACTGTTTCCCTCTAGGCCAGAAAGTTCTATTTGAGGAAGGAGAGGGGAGCGTGGCAATGATGCCTTTAATCTGGAATTGGACATTGCTCTTCTGGAGTACAGAGGAGGCTCTCATCACATCCTCCCTGTACTGTGTGGCTGAGCTGCTTGGAGGACCCCAAGAGGCAAGAGGCACTGAATAATGCTCATGCAAGAAAGGGTCCCAAGCAGTCCAGAGATGTCTGCCCTTTCCCTCCCTACCTCCTCTAACTCCCACACTGGCCTTTGTAAATAAATGGTGTGATCTTTGTTGTGGAAATGTGTGGTATTTTTTCTACGGGAGAAGAGGTGGGCTGAAGACAGCATCTTGGTTTTACAGGGCATATCTAGAAGAATTTGAAGCTGGATTCAGTTATCACTGGTGTCAAATACTGAGAGCTAAGGGATAACTGGTAATGGTGTCAGTAATACCTGGTTTAAGGAGGAGACTCACATTTGTCCATTCCCCACTGTTAAACCATCAGCTACCTGGGAGCTTCCCTGTAGGTTGGGTCCAGGAGAGGAGTGTAGGAGGTCTTGGGAAGATGGTTGAGTCATTTCCTCCACCCTCTGGACTGCTAGTAAGACTGCCCTAGAAGCAAAACAAACCCTGTATTCAGATCTTATACAAGTGAAGATGAGTAGCTATTAATCTTGAGTTCTGAGACTAAACTTGGCGCTATTGCTAATCATGAGAACTTCAGGAAGTCTTCAAATCTATGAGGTTTTATCTTTTGTATAGTGAAGTTATGGGCTAGAGGTCTATGCTGCAGGAATGAATCATGTATGGGAATGGTGGAGACCATTGTGAGAATGGTAGACTAGAGGCTTCCAGCTAACGTGCCCACTGGAAATTCCAATGGTTAGGTGAAGTATAAGAAAACTAAACACCAAATTTGGCTGGGAACCTAGAGGAAGGAGAAAAGCTACACTCTATAGAATCTGACCTGGAAGATTGCACTAAATGAGAAAAGCTTGCTGAGAGGCTGAGTTATATGTCTGAGGGCTTTGAAGGACTGGGTGTTCAAGTGACAAAAAGTTGCAACCTGGGGAACTGAAGGTGTGGCTTAAGGGTAGAGCACCTGCTTTGCGAATGCGAAAGGCCTGAGCTCAAACCCCAGTCCCACCAAAAAAAAAAAAAGTTGGAACCTGGGAAACAGGGACCCTAGAACATGCAGTACTTGAACTAGGGCTCCTAAAGGTAAATTGGAATGAAGCCAGCCCCGTTCTGCAGTTTGGCCTCTCCATTCTGGGTGGTCCAGTAATGCTGCAACCTTGAACTTAGATTGAGAAACCAGATTGTTATCATCTCTGGTTGCTTGGTAAAAGCAAGCAAAAATCTCTCTAGGAAGGTAACATCATCCTGGACCTCAAAACCATTGCAACAAATGAGTTTACAACTATGACCTCCAGCCACAAAAACTAATCAAGCATTTGAAGAGATAAGGCCATATAAGTGACACCAAACAAATAATAGACAACAAACAGACCCACAAAAATTATTGGAATTAGAGACTGAAACAACTGTATTTAGCATTTCAAAATGAAAGCCAAGCTTAGAAATTCTATCAGTCTTGAAATCATGAAAATAGACAAAACACAATTTTAAAAGGATCAAATAAGATTTTAGCTAGAAAAATACAAAAAATAAAATTAAGATCTCAATATATAGGTTTAATAGCACATTCAACATAACCGAAGAATTAGTTAATTACAAAAAAAAAACCTAGGTCAGAACTATGAAAATGAAACTTGGAGTAATAACAGTTTGTAAAGTACAGAAGAGACATTAAACAGAGTAAGTTGGACTCTTATTGGTTGGTTGTTTTGGGCAAGGGGTTTGCACATACCATGCATGTGCTCTACCACTGAGCGACATCCCGGTCTCTGAATTAACATATTTATAATTGGAGTCCCGAGAGAGAAAGAAGAAGTAATCTTAGGGGAAACAATAACTGAGACTTACCTAGAATTAATTAAAATCATCAACCCCCAGATTCATGAAGCCCAATGAATTAAATTTCCACTCTGTAAATAGGCAAAAGAAAAGAAAAGGGATTTTAAAGCAGTTAAATAATGAAGACTCTAAATAATAAGGACTCAGTGCCGGTGGCTCATGCCTGTAATCCTAGCTACTTGGGAGGCTGAGATCAGGAGGATCACAGCTTGAGTCTAGCTGAGTTGTTGAAATCCCATCTCTAAAATAGCCAGAGCAAAAGGACTGGAGGCATGGTTCAAACAGTAGAGCACCTTCTTTGCAAGCAGGAAGCCCTAAGTTCAAACCCCAGTCCCACCAAAAAAAAAAAAAAAAAGACTACCTCAAAGGAGCAACAGACTGCCAAAGACTTAACTGCCAATCTAAAATACTATGCCCAGTGAAAATGTCTTTCAAAAATCAAGGTGAAATAAAGATTTTCAGACAAACAAAAACTGAGTTTACCACAAGCAGACTCACATTGGGGAAAATTCTAAAGGGCAGTCTTGAGTCAAACAGAAAAAAAAAATGAAGAATGGAGAACAACAAATACGTGTATATATATTAACTATAAAACAAAAATGGTGTCTTGCATTTAAAATCTATAGAAAGGGAATTAAGCCAGGTTTGGTGCCACACACTTATATTCCTACGTATTTGGGAGACTGAAGAAGAGGATCACTCGAGCCCAGGAGTTCAAGGCCGGCTTGAGCAACAAAGTGAGACCCTGCCTCAAACAGCAACAACCAATATATATATATATATATATATATATATATAAGATATATATATATATATATATATATATTCTATATTCTATATTCTATATAGAATATAGAATTCTATATTCTATATTATATTCTATATAGAGAGAATTAAAGTACATAACACAATAGCATAGGAGTCAGAAAGGCAGAAAAATGGAATTAGACTATACCAAGGTTTTTGCATTGTCCTGGGACAAAGTAAAGTATTAATTAATATTAGACTTTGGTAAGTCAAAGAGGAAAGTTTTGCTAAACCACTCAGTGCTTTACTAAACCACTAAATAGAAAAGCAGTGTATAACTGTGTTTTTGGCAGTTTGAGCTCAGGGCCTCATGCTTGCTAGGCAGGTACTGTACCACTTGAGCCATCACACCCCGAGAAAGTATATTTTTAAAAGTTACTGTTGAAAAATAAAACATAGGCCAATCTCCTTAATGAACATTGATGCAAAAATCCTCAATAAAATAATGGCAAATTCAATAACACATCAAAAAGATCATTCCCCATGACCAAGTAGGCTTCATCCCAGGAATGCAGGGGTGGCTCAACATACAAAAATCAATAAACGTAATAAACCACATTAACAGAAGCAAAAACAAAAACCACTTGATCATCTCAATAGATGCAGAAAAAGCCTTGATAAGATCCAACACCATTTCATGATAAAAGCTCTAAGAAAACTAGGACTAGAAGGAAAGTACCTCAACATTATAAAAGCTATATATGACAACCCTACAGCCAACATTATACTTAACGTGAAAAACTGAAACCTTCCCTTAAAATCAGGGAACTAGACAAGGATGCCCACTATCTCCACTCCTATTCAACATGTACTGGAATTCCTAGCCAGAGCAATTAGGCAAGAAGAAGGAATAAAAGGAATACAAATAGGTAAAGAAACTGTCAAAATTATCCTATTTGCAGACGATATGATCCTATACCTTAAAGACCCAAAAAAACTACCCAAAACTCCAAGACACCATCAAAGGCTATAGCAAGGTGCAGGATATAAAATCAACATAAAAATCATTAGCTTTTCTATACACAAAAATGACCAAAACTGAAAAGAATATATTGGGAAACAATTCCATTTACTTAATAGCCTAAAAAAAATCAAATACCTAGATTAAAAACTAACAGGATGTGAATGACCTCTACAAGGAAAACTATAAACCCTGAAGAAAGAGATGAGGAAGACTATAGAAAGGTGGAAGAATGATCTCCATGCTCATGGATTGGTAGAATCAACATAGTAAAAATGTCATTACTCAAAAAGTTAAGCAATCTACATGTTTAATGCAATTCCCATCAAAATTCCCAATGACATTTCATAAAGAGATTGAAAAATCTACTGTTAAAATTATTGGAACACAAGAGGCCACAATAGCCAAGGCAATACTCAGTCAAAAAGAACAATGCTGGAGGTATTCACAATACCCTGACTTCAAACTATATTACAAAGCAATAACAATAAAAACAGCATGGTACTGGCACAAAAACAGACATGAAGACCAGTGGAACAGAAATAGAGGACCCAATATGAAGCCACACAACTATAACCAACTTGTCTTTGACAAAGGCGCTAAAAAATATACGATGGAAAAGACAGCCTCTTCAACAAAAACTCTGGGAAACTGGTTAGCAGTCTGCAAAAAAAACTGAAACTAGATCCATGTATATCACCATACCAAGATTAACTCAAAATGGATCAAGGATCTTAATATCAGACCCCAAACTCTAAAGTTGTACAGGAAAGAGTAGGAAATACTCTGGAAGTAATAGGTATAGGCAAGAACTTTCTCAATGGAACCCAGCAGCACAGCAACTTAAGAGATAGCATAGATAAATGGGACTTCATAAAACTAAAAAGCTTCTGCTCAAACAAAAGAAATGGTCTCTAAACTGAAGAGAACACCCACAGAGTGGGAGAAAATATTTGCCAGCTACACATCAGACAAAGGACTGATGAATATATAGGGGAACTTAAAAACTAAATTCTCCCAAAATTAATGAACAATAAAGAAATGGGCAAGTGAACTAAACAGAAACTTTCTCAAAAGAAGAAATTCAAATGGCAAAAAACACATGAAAAAATGCTCACCATCTCTAGCAATAAAGGAAATGCAAATTAAAACCACACTAAGATTCCACCTCACCCCTGTTAGAATAGCCATCATTAGCAACACCACAAAACAGGTTTGGTTGAGGATCGGGAAAAAGGAACCCTCTTACACTGTGGTGGGAATGTAACTAGTACAACCACTCTTGGAAAAAAATTGGAGGCTACTAAAAAGCTAACATTGATCTACATTTGATCCAGCAATACCACTCTTGGGGATATACCCAAAAGATGTGACACAGGTTACTCAGAGGCACCTGCACACCCATGTTTATTGCAGCACTATTCACAATAGCCAAGTTATGGAAACAGCCAAGATGCCCCACTACTGACGAATGGATTAAGAAAATGTGGTATCTATACACAATGGAATTTTATGCAGCCATAAGAAGAAAAAATGTTATCATTTGCA